CCACAGTCCGACATTTCAATCAGTCAGCCAACACACTAAAATGACAAATCGCTGACCCGCTCCACTCTGTTAAATGATTCTAAATTAGCCCAAAAGCCTGTCAAATTGTGCCAAACTTTAGCTCGGACTGCATAGCAGCTTTATAAATGATTGTGTAAACATGCCGCAGCTATCCCAAAGGACAGCCGGACGGACACACAATAACAAACACTCATATTTCGTGGCAATGATACGAAAAACTGACCCCTGGTCAGTCAGCAGCGAATAAACGGAGAAAGGGGTTAAATGGATGTCATATCTAGTTTTTCGCGGTTGTCCGCATGACTTGCATGAAATTTATCATCGGAGAACTTCATTGCGACAATCTCACTGTCCGAGAGTGAGAGAAAGTGAAGTGTCCTGTAATTAATCATGCAATTGGTCTAGAGACTGCATGACAAAATGGATTAAGCAAAGGTCCTGCAGCCGCAATTGTTGCGGTAGTTACGCAAATTTCTAATGAATAGAAAAGTTGGAAACTTAATTTTAAATAAATGATATGGGACTTAAATAGAGAGAGGGGAGAATCAAAGATGAAACATGAGTCCAAATCTGCTAATGATAGAATCAGAATGGCAGTAAGAAACACGAGAAGCAGGGACCAAGACAAATGAGTTGTCCAAGACCAAAGATAATGCAAACGCAATAAGGGAAATATATGAAAAAAAGGTCAACAAAATTACGTTTGCTAAAATTAGAGCAGACAACTGATCATATAGTATGGCTATATATAGATATATAATACTATATATTATAGTATATATTGCAACATTTTTTTTTTTTTTTTCGTGATACACTCATTCGTAGTATTGCTTGTCATAGTTCCAAGTCCATTCCAAGCATGAGCAGCAGATTAGATAAGCGATATCATAGCTAAATCACAGGGCTATATAAAAATGTGAGACAGCTGCTATATGAAGGCAGACAGTATATAAATATATATTTATACATTACTTTCTTAGAAGTGTTTAAAGTTTTGATGTTATGCATAAAAATAAACATACATACATATAACTAATTTTGCTTCCAAATTTAAAGCTGAAATTTAATAAAGACAGTTTAGAATCTTATTGGAAATAAAAGAATTATTTTTAAAATTTTTCAAGATTTCAATAGGTAAATTCAGCTATTTACCTAAAAATATGCATATATTAAATATAAATAATGATCTCTATCACTTTCTCTGCTTTATATCTTCTACTTCATTACATCTTCAATGGCAGCTTTCCAGCAACTTTCCCAGTTGAGCTTCCCAAGCTAAATGCAATCCTCTTACAATTACAATTACAAAAAAAACAAGACACAAAATAAAGGAAAAGCCAAAGGAAAACATGTCAAATTACAATCATTATTTGTGCTTGTCTGGCCTGGGAAAGAATCGAAGTGAAAATCAAGTTTATGTTTTCGCCTGACTTGACAGAAATCAAGCACAAGACAAGATCCTGCCAGCACTTGATTATGCCCAAGGACCCGCAGCGAGATACCATGAAAAGCCCCCTCGATCACAATTCCCTTGAAAAAGCAAAGAAAAAACAATGTCGATTTCACGCTAACCAAAAAAAAAACAACAGAGAAAAAAGAAAACAAAGTAAAATCTCTGCACATATCATGGACAAGAAAGGGGTTTGCATTACACTGACAAATTGGTAAAATAATACCATAATTCTTATCCTTTTGCGCGAGCTAAAAACAAATATTGTATAATATTTCAAAAAAAAAGAAAAAAAGAGATAAGAGAGAAAACGAAACCCTGAACCAGAACGTCCCATAAACAGATGACAGACTGCAGAGCAGCGGTAGCTCCTGCTCCGGCTCCTGCTCCTGCTCCCTCCTTGTGCCATATCTTGATGATTTGCATAAAACTTTAACGGAAATCTAATGAGCAGCAGGACAAGTAAGGACATTTGCATACAAGGATATGGTCGGGCCTGACGGGCCTGTCCCAAATGCCGACTGCTTGGGACCGGTATGATGCAACCATTTCTCAAACAACAGCCAAATGTCGCCTCGATGAATATATAATTAGATAGTGTGTGTGTGTGTGAAAGGTAAAGGATATGGAAGTGCAACCCCAAACGGTTTCGTTCTTGTTGCGGTTAAGCGGCGCATCCCGTCTTGATCTAGTTGATGGTCTTCACGCACGACATAACATAGCGAGAGACGAACCAAAACCTATAACTATTTTTTGAACAAACTTCTTAACGGACATACCAGCCTGGCTAGGGCCTTGACTTATCGAAGTCCTGTCGCGCGCACACACACACATGCAGGAGAAACCCACCCCAAGTTGGGCCTGAGCCAAGGTGTGCGACTCACTCGCGCACTCGCGCATGCGCAACATTCTCAACTGCCAACTTTCAACTTCATGGCAGTTCTTTGTCCTTCTGTGCATATACTCAACATATTGCAAGGAGCATTGGAATTCTCACTTAGTCCAGCAGTAGTAGTAAGTGACATTTGTTTTGCAGCCCATATCAAGCGTGAGCCGAGGGTAGAGCGTGCTCGAATTGCGAAAACAAAATACGCAACCCAAGGCGCTTGATAACACATTTTTCTCTTCTTTTTGTTTTCTGCAAGCTCATTTCAATTGCAGGCTGTCAGTTCCTTCGTTCTTTCAGTTTAACAAATACAAATACATATACATATAGAGTACACAGCGCGCAAATATCCTTTGGATCAACACAGCTGCCCAGCAGAGCGCGTTGTCTGTGCATTGTGCCAGGCTTTGATTGCAGCTACTTGAAAACGCAGCACGTCGACACAGAAGCCAAGACACACACAGAGAGAGAGAGAGAGAGAGTAAGGGAAAGTATATATACAGAGCCTAATGAGGCACTTCATAAGTAGCATTTATTTTTGGGCATTGTGTTTGCCTTTCGCAAGGATGCAGCCAAGTAAGTGCCAAGTAGCTGAGTTGTTTTGTACGTGACTAACGTCTTGTTTGGCTGAGATCAAGCAGCAAAAAGATCAAAATGGAGGGCCTGAGCATCAGATTATATATAGATATATCTGCTTGAAATGCGAAAAACGAACAATTTAATGTAATGATAGATGAAGTACCAAAGTACTAAGCAGCAAAAAATAGCATCAATACCGAAGATCACTAAAGAGAAATGCGATCAATATTGCTGATATATAAAATTCATCAAAATCTGCAAAATGCCTTTAATTAGTCATCAAATTACTCATTAAATTTGATTTCAGTTTGCTGTTCCCATAAAAGAATGTATTTGCATTTCCTGTTTGAAACATATTAGCAAATCTATGACCTAATACTAAAAATCAAAGTCTAAGCAAACAGAAAGCACCAGAGTGACAAGATCATCAAATGACGATCATAAAGCTAATTCATTCATTCATTCATATAAATATTGCACAGTGGTAAAAATTGAAATGAATTATACAAAATATACAAATTAAAGAAAATATTCATTCATTCAAAATACATATAAAAATGAAAATAAAAAATAATTATAAAAAAAAAAATGTTTATTTAAAAATAAAATCAATATCAAATAGAAAAGGCATATGAAACAAAAAATTATCATAAATAATTAATATGTAAAAACAAAATTTAGAAATACAACAAATCTGTAGAAACACAATTTAAAAAGGTTGTTAAAATTAAAAAAAAAAAATAAATAAAAAATAAAATTCAACGAAAATTTGCATGGTTAAAAGTTCGTGCCATTGTAAAATGTAAAACAATTAAAGGGAATTACTGATAGTCCAAAAACTGGGCAATCATATAGCACAATCGTGCTTATTATGAAACGAAAGCAATTAAATTTCGAATGAAATTTAAATATTAATAATCATTATGTGGCTTACAATGCCATGAAAATATATTTAATATATTAATAAAAACTAGTGACCATAGTGCATTTGTATAGAGCGTTCCGCTGATCATGCTCAAGATCGTTGAGGTCATTGACAAGGCGCAACAACGCTTGGCATTTCCGTGATAAGATTTGCAATTGACAAGCACCGAGATTCATATTCATATCACACTGTACATACATATGCATATATTGTAGTTTAAATAAATATTTATATATAAGTTAAGAAGTAATGCTTATCTTTTGTACTCACCTCTGGGAGAAATGTGCTACGTTTGCGTTTACACGTTGCCTTAAAGCCGCTTCCAAATCTGGAATTCACATTAGAAGTTCTTGGACGATATGCTGCTATCTTATATAGTAAGCATAATGCACTATCTGTGGATGTGGAAATGTCTGCGGCTGCGTCTGTGGCTGTGGAGGTGGAGGTGGAGGTGGATGGTGCTGCTGCTGCTGCTGATGTTGTTGTTGCTGCTCCGCTGCTGCTGGCGGGGGTGACATCGTGCTCTTGTTTCCCATTGCTGCTGCTGGTTGTGTTGGCACTGCGAAAAAACAAAAATGCAAACGTGAAATAGATGAAAATTTTTGGCAAATGTGTGCGAGGGAAATTCAATGCCACTCAATCAAAAGAAAGAAAGATAGCAAAGAGAAAGCAAGTACACGCACATAGGGGTCTGGGTCTGGGTCTCTCTCTATCTAGCATAAATTCATTGAAATTTTGACAGGCGCCCATTGGCAACATGAATATTTAACATCCGGGAAATTGTAATCGAGAGGCTGGGAGCGACCCTTTTCCCGAAACTGATTTTCTTTCGTTTTTGAAAATTAAGCAATTTTGGCAAATTTGCATGCACATTATGCATAATGCAAGAGGAAGTAACTGTTTTCTTTCGATTAAATGGTACTCCTGCTGCTGCTGCTGCTGCTGCTGCTCCTTGGCAGATGTTTATCATAAGATCGAAGATAACGGCACTTCATGCAATTCGTTGCGCGAATATTTTCAATTTCTGCTTTTTTGCAATTTGAGAAGTCGTTTGTTTAACCCTTAAGAGCAGCAGCAGCTCACCTTGCGAATCAACTGAGGTCTGCCAAAGGGGTTCATTAAAAGGAAGATCTAGCAAATATGAAGAGGAAATATTCTGTTGAAATTGCTGTATTCTTGAATACCCTATAAATAATACTATATGGTGTCTTGGACATTGTTAGAAACCATATTATATGTATATTTAAATTTAAATATATTTATATTAAAATTTATTTATATTTCAATATTTAGTAAAATTAAATAAGAAAAAAAATGAAATATTAATAAAAAATAAACAAATCAAATTAGAATACAAAATAATAATCTAAATATAAATCAGTATTTCTTAAGGTAAATATATTTTAATAAATTTATATATTTTATATATTTTAATAAATGCAATTAATTATTTTTAAATTAAAAAATTGAAATATTATATTTTATTATTATTTATTATTTAAATTATTTATATAATAAAAATATTAAAAATAACTAAACTTGTTCTTTAAATAAAATTTTATAGAAGATGTATAATATATAGAGATATAGAGAGATTATTTGATTATGATTCGATTGGAACACAAATGTAAAATAAGGCAGATCAAAGGCATTCCAATCTTTGTCAAATAATCACAATGCTCACAGTCAGAGTATAGAGAACAGAGCGAAGCAGAGGGCTGCTGCACATCAATTCAGAATTCCAAGCGATTTTTTCGTGGTCCAAAAAGGATCGGCAAAAAAAGGCTTGTGTTTTGATGCGCTCCATTCTCTTGCCTGTCTCAGCTCGCTCCTCGCTCTCCCCTCGCGCTTTATCGATCGCGTTTAATGGTTTAATGAACAAGAAAAAGTAATCACGTAGTAAATTACAAGGAAATGGAATCGCTTAGAAATGAGTTATAGCCGCGAAAGAGACTTCCACAGAGAGGGAGAGAAAGGAGTTAAGTAAAAAGAAGGTCTAAGGACTAATGGCTCGTACGTGCTGTCGACCGCACACACAACACTTTTACCTTTCTTTTCATTTCTAATTTCTGTTTTTTTTTTTTTGTCAACGCATTGGGTCAGTAGGGTGCTCGTAGTTGGTTAAAGGTTCAAATCGAAGAAGAAATTTGTCAGCTTCGCTCGCGGTGAAAGTTCATTCAATCTTGCACGGCATGGAAAAATTTCGAGTTGGCATCTATTTTGATTCTTTCGACTGGGTGTGAAAGGTCTAGGTAGGCAAAAATACAGCGGCAGCTGTAGCATCTTAGCGCATAATCAAAACTATGGAATGGGCAAATGTCCTTGGAGGAGGGGGAGATGCCGATTCAGCCAAGCCATACTGAATATGACAAGCAAAGCAATGCGAAGAACTAGGTAAATACATATTTCAAATATGCATTGCACATTGATTGCCAAGGGCAGGGATTGACGGGAAAGAAAGTAGGGCCCTCCTGCATGTAATATATATATGTATAGTAGTAGTCTGGGAATCTTTGCTTCCCTCATTTCATTTCTCTTTAAATATCAGTTAAATTTTCCTCTGAATTTCTGTCAAAATTCATAAAAATTCTCTCATTATCAATTTCAATATGATAATTTAAAAAAAAAAAACAGTTGTATTGTCTTGAAATGAAGAGCATAAAAATTATCATACCGATCTCACATCCATCTAATAATCGCATAATCTTTAAACTTCACAAAATCATTAAACATCGCATAACCAGAGGATTATTTTCATTATAATTATCGTTCAGCTTTCGAAATTAATTAGAAATATTTCTAATAAATATTAATAATACAATAAAGAGCCTATATTAGAATATCTAACAAAAATAACATTCAAATTTTATATAATTATATATATGTATATTATAATATTAATTTGTGTTTGAAAAATATCAGAGATATTATAATGATTTTTAAAATATTCTCTAAAAGCTAAAATATTAGAAATTATGCAAAAATAATATAAATCATAAGAAATTATTCGTAATCAATCAACTCTCAAAAGTATGCAACACTTTTGCACACACGCACATAACCTCACAAAAAATACCAAACATTTGATTGGGCCGATGATTAAGAGAATTCCGTTATAGTTCATTTCGTGTGACACATTTTCTCATTTTTTCCCGTTTTCCTTATTCGTGTTTTTTGTTTTTGCGCAATTCATACCAATAATTATGTCGCACACATGTTTGACCACAAATTTGATGTGCATAAAATGGACTATCACTTAAGTGGATCGAAATGGAGTTGCGAGGGTCGCAACTGACAAAATTCCAAATGACTGGGCAATTATGCAATTAAATTGAAGCGCGCACTGGCCACTAGATGGGTTAGCTTAGGGCGGCTGGCTAGCCTTATAAGAGGGTGGCACTCGGGCCGGGCCAACTATGCAAACTCACTTAATTTGGTAGAGCAACAAAAGCTAAAAAGCCACAAGCTGTAGATGTGTGTGTGTGCGCGTGTGTGTGTGTGTGCGTGTGCGTGAGTGGACTATGACAACATTATCAATGATTGTGACACGAATAGAGACAGTCTGTCATGCAGTCAGTCAGTCAGGCAGTCCAACCCCCACCTGGTCGATTCTTAAACACTTTTCTAATGAGTTTTTCGCGCGCAATTATTTACTAATCACACGCAGGACATTCGGGTGCTGGAATTCATGAAATTCATGTAGCGGAATGCGCAGCGGTTGCGCCACTTGGTTATCAAAATGTGACTCTCTTTTAACACCTACAACAGCTGCTGAGCAGTTCGTCCTTTGGCGCAGTGAAAATGCATTTTAGATTATCGCACTTGGCTAGGGGCTACTGCGGGTAGTCGGCCATAACCAGACGTTCGTTCGGTCGCTCGGTCCCTCACTTTATAATTACGAAAATGTTATTAGATAAACATCATTGGGTCGCCAATGTAATAGGTTAACATGGCTTAGGTCTAGCAGGATAGTCTCTAGCAGCCGGGCCTCAAGGAGGAAGTGTCTGTCGTTGTCGCCACAGGAAGTCAGTTAGAAATTACAAATATCTATATATTCCTAAATACATATTCGATACTAGACATTTGGGTCTCTCTTTGTTCTCAAGTTTTTATGTGGGGTGTTAATTGGTTGGTTTGCCTTGATGAGAGAAAAAATAGCGGAAGTCTAGGCGACATCGCTGCAGCTAATGTGTGCAGGAAGTGGGCAAAAAAGAAACTCAAGAGAAATTTAATTAACTCGAGATCTTTAACACATATTAAGATAGAGGAATGCTATGATATTCATGTTATTTTATAAAATTTTTCTTTCAGAAACTAAATTAATAAAACAAAAAAAAAAAGAAATTAAATAAATAGATATCTTATATATTAATATATTAATGAAAAAAAAAAATAATCTTAAGTTAAAAAAATTAAATAAAGTAAAAAAAAAATATATATATATACCTAAATTATATTTTAATATATGTATATATTAATTATTTTATTAAAAATTGTTTTACAAATAATAATAGTATAAATATATTTATAATTTTTTTTTATCAAATAATCAAAAGGATTGCAAATATAAAAATGTCTAAATAATAAATTAATAAAATAAATATTAAAAAAAAAAATTATTTTTTTTTAATATTAAAATTTATTTTTATTTTATTTTATTATTTTATTTTAATTTACAAAATGATTTTTCATAATATAAATTAAGATATAGAAAAAACACGATCTTTTAAATAAAAAAACTAAAACTAAAACTAAATGATTATAAAAGACTCACCTCTTGGCATATAGATCCATAATTGTACGGCCTTGAAACGCCGTTGAAGTAATAAATTGAATATCAATTAAATTTTAACTCAAGTAGAGCTGCTCGTCAAAGCAGAAACTGAAGTGTGGCTTATAGTAAAGGAACTGAAATCAATACAAAAAAGAACAAAACAAAAACAAAAATGAAATAAAAGAATAAATAAGAAAAATACATCTAGTCCATAAACAATTCATAAAAAGATCCATCAAATGTAGCAAAGTATTAAAATTATAAATAAAGATAAAAGAATAAATAAGCAAAATACATCTAGTCTATAAACAATTCATTTCAAGATACATCAAATGTAGAGAACTATTAAAATTTACGACTTAGAAATCATCAAGGACCTCCTCAACATGGACAACATGTGAGACAGTCATCCAACTATCGCAGCATGTGGTCCATGTCAATGTTTGGCCAAAAACAGAAAACTAAGCAATAGGGAAAACCTAAAACAAATTTGTTTACGTGCATTGACGAAGGCGAAAAACAGAGACTAAAACAAACATTGCTCACATCGAAATAATTCCTCCATTTTTTCACATATCCTATTTTAGCCAAAAGACCAAAATAAATATTGAGAATGGATTTTATGATGATGTAAAAATGGACGTGCCTCGCCGTAAGGTATTCAAATTACAAAACGGAACGACAAGGCTCTTGGATTAGACAGGTAGTGGAGTGGATAGTCATCATCATCATCATCAACGTCAACAGAGAATTTCCACGAGTCTCGATTAAGTATGCTGGACGGACAGTTTTCCTGCTGGCGTGTCAGGTGTTGGCCAAGCAGCGGCGCATGCGCCAACGTCCACATGAATGTTGTCTCTAGTGGAGGTTTTCCTCTTTTGTTTCGCTGTACGATAACGCGTAATTATATCGAGCTCTAATATGGCAGAGATCAATGCACCTGTTGTTGTGGCTATTTGCCTGCTGCTGCGGCGGAGCAGGTGAATGGCCCAGTGGCAGCTGTTGAATAGTTGTTGTTGGCACCCCTAGCTGCTTATATTGAGCCCTGCACAATGTTATGCAGGCTGCATACACCGCTGCTGTTGCTGTTGCTGTTGCTGTTGCTACTAAAGGATTCCACGTGTTTAGGCATATGCCCAGCATTTACATTTAAATGGGGTATAACTATTTTGGTTGACATTCGAATGTATGCATACATATTCTGCTTAAAGTATTTTAAATCGTTTCCACACAACAGCATTCCTTAAAGATGGATCTATGAACACAAATCAATATCAACTCCCAGTTCTCCATGATTTTTACTCCCCTTATAGACAGCTGTTATCGAAATTTTACTCTTCAAAAACCCTTATCCATTACAGATTTCGGTGAGGATTAATCAATAATATTACGAATGCTGCACATTTTTGAGCAATTGTACAACTTATCCTAACTTTCCTAACTTTCCCAAATCTAAAGACATTTGCTTTTCTAGGGTATACCATAGTCAAGCACTAAAATTGATTACCAGTTTAGTTACTTTTTATAGACTTGACTTCTTTTCAATTCGCTGTAGTTGCAACTTCAATTGACTTCCCCTTTGCACTAATTGCTCCGCGCATTCGTATCCTGTCGCTTTTCCCTGTCTTCCTACTCTTGCTGCTGTTGGTTCCTGTTTCGGCATTTCCTTAACATTGTTATCGTTGTTGTTGCTGTTGTTGTTGTTGTTGTAGTTGTTGCTGCTGCGTGACATATGGGCCGGGCGTCATTTTTGCCACGATTTATGTGCCCCTTTTGTTAGGCATTCACTTACGACACCTCAACCAGGATATAACTACCCCATTTTTACTGCTTTTTTAGTTAACGACTTTCTTTTCTCCATGTTCGCATTTCTGCCCTGGTTCCTTTTCTTTGTGCCGCCCATTTTCCAGGGGTTTCTTCTTTGCCTATTTCTGGACTGCTTCTTCCTCTGCAAAACAATATAATTTTTTGGTTTTTTGTTGCTTTTCTTTTCCGACTTCGAACCATCATTTTCACACTAATTGCGGATATGCCTACTAATTAATTGCTGCCTTTTACTTTTCCTCATTTTATGGACATGTTTTTTCTTTTCCTCACTGTAGAGGAATTCCCAACCCTGATATGAAAGTCTCAACTGTAAACGTATTTGTTTTCTTATAGAAAAATATGAATTGTATATCGATTTTACTACAAATGTTTGAATATGTTGTAGTTTTTGGAATATCGATTATTAGGTAGGTCGATCATTAATAGAAGAGGTCCTATAGATATACATAAAATATATGCTGTTAATCTCCCACGATCTTTAAATTTCATTATATCTTAAGTTTGGTATAAAGAAACTTCTTTCATCTCCTCCATTTGATCAAGTGTTTAATATAATAATCATACAGCCCTATAGCTATCACATTAAGACTATAATTAGTCACATAATAAAGTCCAGTGATCATTTCACTAGCTCTCCA